TCTTAATTCGTTTTCAGTACACGGTTTTTATCCGGGTTCTGGTTTTAAAAAAATCGACTTTTACCCTGATTTAACTCCGCTTTGTGTTAGCAGGGTTACTACCCCAACTACCGTCTGTTTTTAGAGAGACCCTACACCCACCCTTGAAGCTGAATCTGAATGGTTACTACCCAATTACTACCCCAACTACGTCGTCTGTTTTTAGAGGGACCCCACCACCACCGTTGAAGCTGAATCTGAATGGCAACTACTCTTACTACCCCAACTACCGTCTGTTTTTAGAGAGAACGGGTCTTGTGCGTCCACATTCCACACACATCGATCTTGTGCGTCCACATTCCACACACATCGATCTTGTGCGTCCACATTCCACACTCATCGATTTTTGATTCCACATTCCACACACATCGATCTTGTGCCTCCACATTCCACACACATCGATCTTGTGCGTCCACATTCCACACTCATCGATCTTGTGCGTCCACATTCCACACACATCGATCTTGTGCGTCCACATTCCACACACATCGATCTTGTGCGTCCACATTNTTCCGCACACATCGATCTTGTGCGTCGACATTCCAAACACATCGATCTTGTGCGTCCAATCTTGCTAAATTCATGGAACTTTAAAATTGTTCTTGATTTATAGCTTTTTGCGGCTTGCACAGTAAACTATAGTGAATAAAAAAATATCGAAGAATCCCAGTTTTGAGATTTCTAAAATTTTACAATTTTGACATATTATTTTATTTTAAAATTTTGCTTTAGGCTCGATGATTCTATTGCAACCAAATGGACAGTGCAATGGGGAAATAATACTTGAAAAAGACTCAAGATGTGAGGAATTCTTTGCTTGAACATAAAAAGAAACTAATCTGCTCTTCAGATGGCCAAGGAATAAAACTAAAATAAAATATAAACGTTTAAATTTATAATTGGCTTACACCAAAATATTTGCGTTTACCAAGATGGGATCCAAACCCCCCGGCCCCAGCTCCCCCAGCAGGATGTTATGGGAACCGCATATGGGATCCAAGATTCGGCTCTAATAAACTAGATGCGTTGTTTTTCAGTTTTGTTGACCAAGGCAATTTGAAAACAAATTGAAAATTTTGTTTGAGCCACTAGCCACTGGCCAAGAAACCCCGATGACCCCCCCCCCTTGAGTGTTGAATTTGATAGAGATATTTGGTTGGTGCCTTTTCCTTAAGTAAGACGACATTTTTGGACGTTAATGATAATTATTTTAAAGTAAATCCAAAATTATTTCTAAAAATAAATTTTGTCGAATTCAAATCAAAATTAGGTTTTTTTTAATTTGAGAGACTTTTATGAAATATTTCAATAAATTGTCAACAAAAACCTCCCCTTTTCTCTCTGAGATTTGAGAGAAATTTCTATATCAGCTGTTTTAGGAGTGTCTCTGTCTGTCAAGTGTAAACTTCAGTACAGAATCAGATTCCAAACTTCTCGGTAAAAAAAGATATTTAAGATGCTCGCCTATTGATGCATATGAAAATAAACGTTAATCAATCAATCAATCAATCTTCTCTGTAAAAGAAAGGATTGAGAAGGACAGAGAAAAGGGGGGGGGGAGGTCGCGAAGTCTGAGCCCCTCCGGACATAATCCACTATGCACTGTATACTTGACGTTTACCAAAAAAAAAAGTTAGTGTTAAGCAAAATCAATTTTAGAAAGATTTTTTTTAATTCGATACAAGCAAACAAACCAAACAATAAACAAACTGAAAGCCAATTATCTGTTTAATTGGCTTGTATGTCCGTTTGTTTGTTTGTTGCCAAGAAATGTACTGATCTAAATCTTTCTCTAGGACAGACCCGTAATTACGATGGTTAGATCCAGGAAAACTGTTCAATGTAAATAAATTTTGTTCCGAATCTAAAAAATTAAGATACATGAAGTAGTAAGAAACTCACTGAACAAATCCTTTTAAAACAAAAATTTCTTGTTGTGAAACAGTTTACATTTTTAAAATTTCAGAGGAAAGATGAGTGAAGCTCAGAAAGGACTGTCCGATCTTGAAGCGCTTCAAATGCGCGCTAATGCCGTTACTGATGAATCTCTTGAGTCTACGCGGCGAATGATGGCAATGTGTGAGGAGGTAAATGCTTCTTTTTCCAATACAGAGGTATCTTTTTTTGAAAATAATTTTCCTCAATTCTTGAAATATCATTTATTTGTTTGTGTAAAGCATTTTGGCTTTGAGGGGAAAAAGAGGTGAGGGCCGAAATGTTTAGTGATATTTCAAAATATATACCTCTGTATAAATAATAACAATGTGATATAAAATACAATATAATTTTATATTCTTATCTGCTTATTTTTTATATGTTTACCCTAAATTGTATTTAAGTTAGGATAAGTGCCAAGTGGATTTAATGAAAATATTTGAAAAATGTTTTCTTCATTTTTCCTTCAAGAAATTATTATTTACTGACTGAAGGCAACATACATACATATATATTTATATTGTATTTATATGAATGTCTTGTTTTATTATATAGATTTATAAAGTTTAAGTATTTTAGACGTCATAGTTATGACATAGAATTCTCTCTGTAATCCTCTAATCTTAAAAGCTCGACCCGGCCCGCTTGTTACCGACTCTTCTCTTTGAAAGAGACTGTAAACCTAATTTCAAGTGACTCTCCATGCAAAAGTACAACGCCCTATTTACAACGGTATCTTCTAAACCTTTTAATGTGTATCGTGTACAGAGATCTCGATGTGTAATTCTCTAGAAAACCGCTGGAATTGCTGTAAAGCCCGGTGTACGCTGCGTACAGTGTGAAAACACAGCGGATCTGTTACTTGTGTCACTGGAAAATACAAAATATTTTACATTAAAAGTGGTTTTTAAAAATAAAATATAAAAAATTTATGATCTGCCACTTCACGAAAGTCGATATTAATATTTTTAAAGATATTTCAGCTTGCACCTATGAAGGGTCAGTTCAAATTTTGCCAACAGGCCCCTTAACCCCCTCCCCCTTTGCTGAAATATCCCCTGCATTCAGTTCCACGTGGGTTTCCTTTCAGATTTGAATTTTAAACTTAATTTAATTTGATTTAATTTAATTTAATTTAATTTAATTTAATTTAATTTAACTAGGATTAAAAATAACTTAATACATTTTTTAACTGTTTTGTGTCAATAATATTTTTACTCTCATAATTGGTATTTTTTTCTTTAATATTTCAATATTTATAATATATTTTACGATTAAAAAGATTAAATTTTTCAATTTTTATAATAGTAACACCATTTTTATATCTATTTTACCACAAACGTCAAATTCTGCTTGTAAACATTTTTTTCTTAGCATTTGGACTTATCAGACAGTAACTAATTTGAAATTGACTTTGCTTAATTTGTAATTTTCAAGAAACTTATTCTTATTTTTTATCCTTATGTACCTTGCAACATTGCAAAAGGATATCGTTGTAAATCGGAAATGTTACCCTTTAAATTAAAATCAGATAAAAAAGAAATAAAATTCAATTTTGTTCTCTCTATTCCACTTTTCAAAATGTAACTCTTCTTTAGAAGATTTTCCCAAAAAGGTGATATTTTTAATTAAAGATTTACTATTCAAATCAGTAAATTTAATAAGAATTTAAGAACTAAAATGTTTATTTCTTTTTTAACAAAAGAAAATTTAGTTTTATTCTGTTTACATTGACACAAAGAATATTTTATTTTGTGTGAATTTTTTGGTATGGATTAGGTATTAAGCTTGTATGAAGAGGATTTTTATTATTAAATGAAAATTAATAGACAGAAAACTTGCTGTAACAAAATCCAACAAATTTATTTTTGTTTTGTCTTCTTTGGTCAAAAAAACATAACTTTTGAAGGTAAAAAAATCATACCTGTGAAGCTTTGTATTATTCTTATGATTTAGCGGCCTTTTCGGGCGCATTTTTCTTGTTTTCCAATATTATCCAATCATTTTACTAACATCATTTTTTTTATTGGTTGATTTCTAAGAAAATAGAATTATTGATTGGCCATTTATTTAGACCTTTTCTTGGTTTTGTGTAAGGTTCTATAAGAAGTTTAGGCCCAATATGTTTAGCTGTTTTCATTCGATACAAGCAAACAAACCAAACAATAAACAAACTGAAAGCCAATTATCTGTTTAATTGGCTTGTATGTCCGTTTGTTTGTTTGTTGCCAAGTAATGTACTGATCGGACCCAATTTCGTTGTGACCACTTACATTTTACAATAAGATAGGAAAGGTTCATGGATTGTCAAAATTGAAAAATTTTGTCTGGTAAAAAATATCAACATTTATTGTATTGAAAATCCACCATTTTTAACAGGAAGTTCAGCAAAATAAGTTTTTTTTAACTTAAAGCAAGAGTTAATAGCTAAAATTATCTTTAAATATTGAATCCTATTTAATTTTGTAATTATACAGTCCAAAGAAGCCGGTATTAAAACCTTGGTAGCTTTAGATGATCAGGGTGGTAAGTTTACTGTTGTACAATGTTTACAGTTAAGGTCATTGTACTGCATATATATATAAATATATATTATATATTGTACTTTGATGTGTACAAAACAGTGTTGTGCTGTTGCATGTCCATTTCAACAGATTTGGAAACGGTCGTAACAAACAAATCACTAAAATGTTTGTATCAACGATTGGCATCAAAAATTTTCCATCTCTTTAAATAAATGAAATTCTTTGGATAACTCCAGTTATTCAACGAATTGCTGCCTGATATTTGTATGACGCCTTGGGTAGTAAATTGAAGAAGTTAAAAGAATTTAGCATGTGAATTGTAAATATTCTATATCTGAACAAAATGAGGGCAGTTTTCTCTGCTAAAAATTATATTGATCTTGTTGTTAACATGAAGAGCCAAACAACAGGAGCAAAGACGATTGAAATGCTGGATCATCAAGGGGAACAACTTAACAGGTGATTAATTGATAGATTAATTGATGAAATAATAAAATATTCATGAAATATAGATCAATGATTTAATTTGTAAACTTTTAGAAATGGAGAAACAATTCTTTGTTTGATATCTATTCACTATTCGTTCATTGAGTTCTCAATGATTTGTTGATTAATTAATAGATAATCATAAAATCTATTTGATTGATTGATCAATTCATGATTATTAGATTAAAAGATTGAAAGTTATTGATTTGTTAATTAAAAATAGATTAATTGAGTTAACATTCATTGATTGATATAGTTAAGATTGATTGATTAAGCTAAGATTGATTAATAAATTCAATATTGATTGATATGTTTAGGATTGATTTATATAGTTCAAATTGATCGATTGATTTACGATTGAGTGATTGAGTTCAGATTGATTGATTGAATTAAGGTTGATTGACTGAGTTAAGATAGATTGATTGAGTTATGATCAATTTATATAGTTAAGATTGATTGATATATTTAAGATTGATTGATTGAATTAAGATTGATTGATTGATTGATTGATTGATTGATTGATTGATTGATTGATTGATTGATTGATTGATTGATTGATTGATTACTTGATTAGAGTGGAGGGAGGGCTGGATAATATAAACGCTGAGATGAAGGAAGCTGAGAAACATCTGACTGGAATGGAGAAATGGTGCGGACTCTGTGTCTGTCCTTGGAACAGGTGTGAAAAGGGCGCTAAGTCCCATTTTCAGTTAGTTTCATTTGTTAGTCTTGATTTGAAACATTTGGGGTCATTTTTTGTGAACTTGTGGATATTTGTAGAAGCTATTTAAAAATTCAAACTTAAATGCCTTTTCTTCGAAATTACCTAAGAGTATTTTATTGACATTTATAACTAAATTTTAAATATGTTATTAGTCCAGATCACGTTCATTGGTTATTTATCCTGTAATTAGTGATACTGATGCTAAACACTGCTAATTGGGTTAGATTAAAACCAATTAAAACTAATTATTACTAATTAAAGGGACTGCCGACATAATTTCAAGCCACCCTTCCTCTAGAGAGGAGCATGTACTTTCACAACAGAACCCTTTAAACCTTCCTTTAGAGAGGAGCATGCACTTTCACAACAGAACCCTTTAAACCTTCCTTTAGAGAGGAGCATGCACTTTCACAACAGAACCCTTTAAACCTTTCTTTAGAGAGGAGCATGCACTTTCACAACAGAGCCCTGAAACCTTCCTTTAGAGAGGAGCATGCACTTTAACAACAGAACCCTTTAAACCTTCATTTAGAGAGGAGCATGCACTTTCACAACAGAACCCTTTAAACCGTCCTTTAGAGAGGAGCATGCACTTTCACAACAGAGCCCTTAAACCTTCCTTTAGAGAGGATCATGCACTTTCACAACAGAACCCTTTAAACCTTCCTCTGCGCAAAATTATTCTTATATCCTTGTATTTCTATCTGAAAAAGGGATTTGCAGCGAATTTATGCATAACAGACAAAAGACGGAATTCTAGGGACAATTTCTTCCTCGTTGTTGCTGGGAGAAAGGTCTGAGGTGACTGTTGTGAATTAGGCATGCAACTCTGGAAATAGAGGGTTTACTTTAAATTACGTGAACGGGCCCTTTTTAAAGGCGAAAGAAAGTGAAGGATATTGATGAGAGTAAATGGGAGAATACAGGAGATGGTACAGTTGTCAGAAAACAACCAGGTGAGTGAGGGGAGGAAGGCCAACCACAACAATTTCTAGTCCGTGTCAAATTCTCCTTATTTTCTCGACCGAGCCACCTCGAATTTCTTTAACTTGACATGATACTTCCAATTGTTTAAAATAACTACATGGTTAATTTCTGCCCCTAATATCTATCAATCAACATTTGGGATATTAATAGTATTGGCTGGAATTATATGAAGCCCTGGCCGGGTGAGATAATATCATCAGAGGTGTAAATTTTCTTAAACAGATAAATCTTCTTTGTTCTCATAGAATATGTGCTCGCTTAGGACAGAAAAAAAACTTATTTTTTGCTAAACTGGTGAAAATAAAAAGAAAAAGTTTAACTTTCATTTTTTTCCCCAGAGCTAAAAACTTTAGAATAAGATATCCTTAATCCTGATCGCTTAATCTGATTATCCAATTTACACACTTTTGATTTTATTCTTAATCCTCTTTTTTGGATATCCCTACTGTACAAGAGTTACGTTTGATAACAATTACAGATACAATGCTATATCGATTGAACTAATATCCGATTGAATTAAAGTTAGCTGTTCTCAAGCGGCTTTTAGAGCATTTAAGCAAATATGAATTTAACCATGTTAATATGAACCTATTAAAGAATATATTTTATCACATTTTCTATCATCATTTTAAACATTAATCCAAAACTTATAATTATTTAATCAATGTTTAGTTCAATTGATATGACAATTAACACCAGAAAAAAAAACCGGGTTTCCAAACGTTAAAGAGTACATCTTAACACGATACGCTGATTGGTTAAATTTTATACTTCTTTCTTAGATATCGAATGCGTATTAAAATAATCTCGGGTTTAGTAAAACCAGGAGTTTAAGCATTAATCTTGATATCCATCATTCTAAAGTTTTCAGCTCAGAGCTGAAAACTTTTGATTGGGATATCCTTAATTCCGATCGGTTAATTAATCTGAGCTGACAAATTTAGAATGGTGGATATCAGGATTAATGCTTAATCCAGTCTTTTTCTTAATCTCCAGATTAAATATTGCTGGTTCTCCTCATGAATTTAATCTCCAGATATCCCATTCTAAAGTTTTCAGCTCTGGAGATTAAAAATAAGAAAAGAACAAGCATTATTTAATCTCAAGATTTAGAAGAAGAGTGGATCAAGCATTAATCCCGATATCCATCATTCAAAAGTTCCCAGCTCAGATCATAACAAATCTTGAGGGTCAAAACTAAAAAATAGAACAAATCAAGCGTTATATTTGATCTTAGCTGGGAACTTTTGTTTTGGATACTCAGAATCCATATTACTTGATCTCGAAATCCACTGTGAGCACTTTTAATTTGAGGATCTATAAGAAACCAATATCTTCCATCCGTATCTTGAATTTAGTTATTCCGCCACTGATCAAAGCTTTCTTCAACACCTGACTGGTATCAAATAAAGACTAAATTAATCTGCAGATTAACAAATGATCAAGATCAAAAATTGATCTCGATATCCACAATTCAAGAGTTCCCATCTCTGGATATAATCTTAACACATATATAATGACGTGATCAGTCCCTTGAATTATTTGATTATTTTTTATAAGGATCAGATCAGAGAGATTCTGAAAGAGGCCAGGGACCTTATATACAAAGGTAAAAAATGGAAAGGGAGGGAGGTGGGATTATCTATTATTTATTTGATTTAATAAAAAAATTTAGTTGTATGATTTTTAGTTCGATTAAATTAGTTGAATGATTAATTTTTTATTTGAAGAAGGGAGTATTGGAGTTGGTTGGTTGGTTGATTTTTTGGCAATGCTGATCACTAAAAGTGTGATTTTTATCTTAGATTGATTGATTGATTGATTGATTGATATTGATTAGGATAACAAACGATGCTCGCGAGGACGAAATGGAAGAAAATCTTCAGGAATCAGATCATTAGATCAAACATTTATAGTTAGATCAAACATTTATATTTAGATCATGATGCAGTGTGACCACAGCATGTTCTAGCTAGTTTAGAACCATAGAAGGATTTGTAAGATCTAGAAAGAAATAGGGGAAAACATTAGATATATGATATATATTTTTAGATCTTTGAAAACTGTTTTCAGCTAAAAGACCAAGCCCGAACCTCGTCCATTATTCACCGTATGGGAGAAGGATTTTATCGCTAGATTTTGGAAACTGAGTTTATTTTTGTGTTAATATTGGTGGTACAATTCTGAACTTTTTTGATAAAAATGTCCAGATTCTTTCAGCACGTGTCTTAAAAGTTTCTATAATAAAAAATCAAAACAAAAATGTAAACTTTTCTTCTTAAATTCGTATGTCGACATGGATACCAAAAATCCGTCTTGAATTCCAAAATAATAAAATAGTAAAAATCGTTTAGATTTTTTTTCGCGCAAATTTGACGTCATCCAAAAAAAATAGTTTTTTAACCCTAGATCAACCAATTTTCACAATCTCATAAATATTTAGTGATTTAAGGCGCAATTTTAGACAACCATATCGACATGTTTCGAAAAAATTGAAAAAGCGACCTCCCTTAGTAGTGATTTTTGATTTTTTTAAGTGCTTGCGCTGACCCATTTTTTTAAAATAACAAAGATAACGTTTTTTTACGTTTAATTGAACAACTTTTGCTGCCTGTCGGTAAGTTTTGAAAAAAAAACTTCATATTGTCCTAGGGTTAGTGTTAAAACTTACTAAATAGGAAGGGGGGGGGGCGTAATTCTTCAAAATACTTTAAAAACTTTTGCAATATTCTAATGAGAACTCGAAATATAAGAAGTCTCCCTCCCTTCCCCCCCCCTTTCTGTCTTTCGTAAAGGAGAAGAAAAGTCTAATTGTAAGATGTCTTTTTCAAATAAAAAAAAAATGTTTAATAAAAGTCTATTTTGTTGGAGAGAATTAATTTGAAAATATTTCTCAGAACTTTTTTTACATTAATAAAGATTATTTAACTTTTTTCACTTTTTTTTTAGGCCTCCGGGGCTGGCATGAAGATAGATTCTGCCAACAAGAGAACAGAGAAACTTTTGAAATAATTAATTTCTAGAAAAATGTTATCTTATTTTCCAATCCTCCATCTACCCTTTAATTTTTGGGTCATTTGAAAAAAACTTGTCCCTAAAAAGAAACGCACAGCTTAACAAACTTTTAGTTATATCATTCTGAAAAGATATTTTATCCAACCGAGGGCGAGAAAATGTTGCGATTTTCTTGGATTTTATCTTAGTTTAATTAATCTTATAAAAATGATTACCTTGATATTTTTATACTTTTATACATCAATTTATATTTTACACTTTACGTGTACAAGCTTTATATCCTGATATGCTTAAACATTGCGTAATATTTGCATAATGCAGAATTTAAAGAAAGTGAAATTTGAATACATCTACTTAGATTTAAACTAAATTAATGTATGATACATTACTAGATTGTGAACCTATGTATTTTCCCTTTCTGATAAAATAGTGTTAAAAAAAAAACATTTTTTTATTTTAAGGCAACCAAATTTTTTGAAAAAATAACTTTTTGAAAATAAACATATTTTATCTTATCATAGAAACCAAAACGCTTTGTTACAAAAAAAGATACTTTGTGAACATTCCGATTAAACACATTGTATTGTAATTTGTATTCTACACTATTAACTCTAAACTGACCCAGTGCCTTGTATCTATCTATCCATCCTACTGTGATTACCCTTAGAAAGTATTTTACAATCAATCCACTTCAATTTCGCGGGGAAATTTTGAATTTTGCCGGAATTCATTTTTCCATGATTTTGAAGTTGGGCGGGTATCTATGAAACTGTTGATTGTTGCTAGATTTAAAATAGATGTTTCTGTTTCAATGTTGTACTTTTGTTTTTTTTGTTTATATTTTTCATGTGATCCTATCTTAACTCAAGAAAAACAAAAACAAAGATACTTTTCTATTGATAAGTGTTATTCTTGAGATTGTTTATTCAGGGGTGAATATTTCCCCTGACCCATCAGTGAAATTAGAATCAGAATGTGAAATCAGAAACTGTAAGAAAATTAGATTTTAAGAATTCACAAAGTTGTCTCGGAAGTCTCGTAGTTTATGTTTTTCCATATTTCCGTATAACAAGTTTACCAAATTATCTTTGTGCATATATTTTTTAAATGCACATTGCACATAATATTGTACATAGCGTCCAATATCATATTGGATCATCTCCTAGGTTTAATGCCAAAATATGCACATAATACTAGGACACCCTAGTATTTTTACATTAGCCTTTATTTATGTTTTTAAATGATTATTCATTTTAAATCTAAAAGTTCCGAAAATCGCAACTTAACTGATCTAATATATGATGTGGGGCACCCTGTAAATTGAACAATGTGTTTGTTAGGACTTGTGATAGGGGTGAAAGTTCCAATATAACTTCATTATTGTTGTAAAATGTTTAAAGGAACTGGAATGATTGTCGTCCTCATTCTTATTTAAAGGGAGTGTTCGTAAAAATGAAAGAGGGGTTAGACTGAATTCTAATCAAATTCGGATTCGATCGCTACTTATGTTACTTCTTTATAGACGCACTAAGGAGAAATGGTAGAATTTGCTTAATACCCAAGAGCGTAGAACCAATGTGAATTCACATCACTTAGTTGCATTATTCCACTCAAACCGTAAATAATTGAATTGGATTAAAACTAATCCTTTGAATATTGCTAAGCATATAAATTCCAAAAAAATTTGTCAAGTTCAAAGTAAGAATCATATTTTTTTATACAGATATATTTTTATAGTTTATTTGGATATATAGAGATATATTTTTAATATTATAATTTACTGTTAAGGACGATTATTTGGCTGCTAGGCGTCTCTCGCAGAGAAATCTACGTGAAATTCCTAGGGATTTTAGCGTTTTTATCCATTTTCTCTTCAGTCATAGACACAACAAATTCTATTTTTGCGAACTCTCCCTTTAATTAAGATTTTAATTTATAGATTTGTTCAGATATATGTCGACAAATTTTTAGGGCGCATTAAAAAAATTTGCTACAAGTTTGTCTGGGCGTGTTCCTACTTTTTTTAATCGATCGTTACATTCGTTCCTGTGAAAGAATGATCGTTCCTCAGATAAAACAGTTATTCTTTTTGCAATGCAAGAAGCCCTTTTTATTTGTCTGGCGGCATAATTGTGTGTAGAACTCAGGCTTAAAAGGAATCCAGCCATTTTTTTTACGTGTGACATATTACAGTGGTAGGCGATTTTATCAATACAGTGAAGACTACTTTCAATTTTGTTTTAAATTAAGCTGTTAAACATCATGGATACACATTAACATTTAATATAAAGGACAAGTCGAGCAGCTGTCGATTTAAAAGCTGCTATTTGATTACTTTTAAACTTGTAATTCGAAAAAACCTTGATTGTTTCAAAGCTTAAAATAAATGGTGGCTCGGTTGTATTGATATAATCGCCCGCCACTGTATAAAAACTGAAAAACTTTTTAGATTTTACTTTCAAGCGAATCTTATGTTTGAGCGTACTGAATTAGTTCTACTAACTTCTAAATTCTTCACAAACTGGCACGTTGTTTATGGCTGTAGTGACTCTCTGAAGAGACACATTACACTAGATTTTGTATTTCTCAAAATTTGAATTTTTTGGTCTTCCATGCCACAACATTCGTGTCTTCTGCCCGCCTTCCCCCACTCATTTGGCTGGTCCAATAAATTGTTGTGGACTTAAACCTTCTATATCTATATATATGTTCAGTTTGCGCCCTAAACATTTCATTTCTTAATCACAGCATTTGTTAATGTTCTTATGTTCTTAATCTTTAATTGTTTCATCCAGGTTCAGCAGAAAAGTTCCAGCAGAAATGGAATACCTGGATACTAAATTGATTGAGAGATTGATTGATTGATTGATAGATAGATTGATTGATTGATTGATTGATTGATTGATTAATCATTAAGAAAACCTAAACTTTAATAGAGAAGGCTTGGCTTTTAAGTTGATTAATTGTTGATCTAATTGATGGATCGATTTAGAGATTTATTGTTAAAATAGTTGATTAATTATTGATATTACATATACCTTCAGGAAGACCTGGCCATGAGAACCTTAACTTAAATGACAAACGCCTGGCTTTTAAATTAATTGATTGTTGATCTAAGTGATGGGTTAATTGGGAGATTTATTGATCAATTATTAATAGAATCTAGACCTTGAGGAAGGCCAGGCAATTAAGTTGTTTGATTGGTCGATCTAATTGATTGATTAATTGATTAATTAGTTTATTAATTATTATGAAAACCTAGACCTTAATGAAGAACGCCTGGCTATTAAATTGATCGATAGGTTGGTCTAATGGATGAATTGATTGATTAATAAGTTGATTGGTTCTTAAGAGGACCTAGACCGTATAGAGGAAGGCCTAGATATAATCAACAACGACATGAAGCAGGCAGAGAAGGCTCTCAAGAGAATGGGTCAATGCTGCGGGTTTTGTTTTAACCCCTGGAAAAAGTATTTTTTTCTTATTGTTGTTCACTCCCCCCCCCCCCTCCCTGTGGTTTTTGCTCAATAACTCGAAAACGGCTTACACTAGAATGCTCAAACGTTTAAAAGGCTTGTGGATGTTTCAAAAATAAAACGCGAAATAACAATATATCAAACCATTGATCCCTAGACAAATGAAGAAAAAGAATAAAACTTTATATGTTTCTTAAAAATTGTATTTTTATCAATTACATTTTTGGAACGAGCAAAAGCAGATCTAGTCCTTAACTATCATGAAGATCCGGAGCACCTTTATTTTCAACTCTGTCTGTCCTGTTAGATAATACACTGTATAAACTGAAGGTTGTTCTGTTGCTAAATCTTGAATACGCTGATTTAAAGCTACCTCTACACTTTTCATCTAATAAAATTTGTTGGAGCACCGGCATCAAATTTACCTTAGCAGAATCATTCAACAAAATTTGACGAATGGTTCTGCTCAGGTGAATTTTGTAAGCTGAAAATTGGAAATTTTTTAGCATGTATTTTTGAGTGGCTGGGCTGATATTTTTGTTGTTGTATTCCAAAGTTTTAGCAATAAAATAACTATTGTGTTTTGCAAGTTCGTTCGAACAAACAATTTAGAAGCCATTCAGAACAATTCGTTTTTGTTTTTTTGCTCGTTTTTAAAAATGCTTGCTTTTTCATTACTTTGGACGATCCGAGACGTTAGCCCATATTTTATTTTATTTTTTGAAAGATACCATTGTTCATGAAAAAACTAGTTCGTCCTAAAATATTTTTTCGTTAACAAAAAAAAGGATGCCCATCTCTAGTTTTTAATTTCGTCTTTTTTAACACCGTAGGCCGGAGAATGAAAAGGAGGGAATGAATTATGACGGAACCTGGAAAAATGTTGAGACTGGAAGCACTAGTGTTGATCACAGTCGGGTCAGGCCGAAAAATAATGCAGACTCCAAGGGAGGAAAATATATTACCAAGTAAGAGACTTTAATATTTGTTAAAGGGAGTGTTCGCTGAAAATGAAAGAGGGGATTATAGGCTGATCACAATTAATGCGTTTTTTATCGCTACTAATTTTACTTCTATCTCATTGCATATACCCTTTATCATTTTTCGCGAACACTCCCTTTAAGTACTGTACAGTAGTACACCCCCCGTATAATATAACAAAAAATGACGACCTTCTATTGTATTTGATATTAAACAAACTTAAATATAACTCTGGTTCAGGATTAGATAAAAAAAAGAAATTCAAAACGACAGCAACGCAAAAATAATTCCAATTTTTTATAAGTTTTTAGTGTTAACAATTTTCCTAATTAAATGCTTGAATTCATTGTTTATAAAAACTAAATTATAAAATTGTCTCTTGTTATATTGAAAACCACTTTCACACTTTCCTGTTGGGGTGGGGTGGGGGGTCCAAAAATGTTATAGGGTTGAAATAGTTTTGTCTGTCGAGTTTGTCAAAATTAATTCCCCTGGAAGGCCCCCCCCCCCTATTGACAGTTATTAGTGTGCAGCATTGTAATCTCTCATTAATTAATCAGTAACTTCGTTAAATAAAAGATTTTAAATGGTAAACCTGAAAATATTTAGTCTTCGACCTGCCGATGTCGAATATGAAAAGTCCAGATTTATTTACTCGACATCTTCGCCATCGGAACAAATAGTCGGGTTAATTGTTTCCTGGGAAGCCACATTTGGTTTTACCTTGCACTGTTTGTCATTTATTTTTCATTAGAACATCTTGTATTTGAGATTAGAAGAATTTTATAATTAAATATTGAAAAAATGAAAATTTGACAAGAATTTTGTAATTATAATGTAATATATATATAATGTAATATATATAATGTAATATCAATATATCCACGGATCAATTAATTCTCTTTTTCAAAATCCTTTGATAAAACCAAAATTTATTAAAAATAATGATTAAATATTTTAAAATTTAAATTAAAAATCAATTAAATATGGAAAATTGGCCTGGTCGTCGTCTAACTCCAAAATATTTACATGTTGGAATCAATTAATAAATTTCTTTGCTGAGTCGTAGATAATAAAAACCAAGATCATAAATGAATTAATTCTATTTTGGTCAATAATGAAATATTATCTACCGTCCTTAATCAAATTCTTCAAAGGAACTCAAGACAAAATTTCAAGTAACTCAATTCTAAACTCATAATGGTACTTAACTCTTTAAAATCATTTGTAAATAAATAAGGAAAATATGGATAACTTAGATTTAATCTGAAGTTCTAATTTGCTTTATTGTCTCTGTAGCACAAATCCACAAGTGTAATTATGCACTGGTCACTCTTTAAATGTATGTTCACTTGAATTTAGGAGTACAGTCCCTGTAACTTTTTTTTTAATTCTACATTTTTATCTCTAGATACTTAGATGACAACAGGGAGGAGGAAATGGAAGAAAATCTTCAACAGGTTCAAAAATATATAGGGATTATCAACTTTAAAAGAACTGTTAACCTTAAAGGGACAGTCAACCTTGGATTGTCAACCTTAAAGGGATTGTCAACCTTCACAGGATTGTCAGCCTTTAAAGGATTGTCAACCTTAAAAGGATTGTTAATCTTAAAAGGATTGTCAACCTTAAAAGGATTGTCAACCTTAAAAGGATTGTCAACCTTGAAAGGATTGTCAACCTTGAAAGGATTGTCAACATTAGAAGGATTGTCAACATTAAAGGATTGTCAATCTGAAAAGGATGTCAACCTCAAAAGGATTGTTAACCTTAAAAGGATTATCAATCTCAACAGGATTGTCAACTTTGTAAGGATTGTCAACCTTAAAAGGATTGTCAATCTTAAAAGGATTGTCAACTTTAAAAGGATTGTCAATCTTAAAAGGATTGTCAACTTTAAAAGGATTGTCAACCTTAAAAGGATTGTCAACCTTACAGGGATTATCAACCTATAAAGAGATTTTTAACCTAAAAGGGATTGTCTACCCATAAAGGGATTCTAAAATTGAATGGGAATTAGGCCTTTTATAAATTTTAACTTTGCATGAATTGTCACAATGAAGAGATTGAAAACTTTGAAGCAATTTATCAGTTCTGTTAAAGGATTGTCGTTTGTCAAATTCAAGGGGATTGTCGAGAGAAGGGGATTTCTATTTTTAAATATATTTATTAAATGAAAGGGATCTTCTTTATTAAAAGGATTGCAAACCTGGGATTTTCTGCTCAAAAAGGATTGGGATCGTTCGTCTACCTAAAATAATTCATCAACCTTAAAAGGGTTTGTCATCCTAAGATGTTAAATGTTTCATCAACCTAAAAGGGTTCGTCAACCTGAAATATAAGATATTGTCAACTTTGAAGAGATTGTTAAACTAAAATTGATTGTCAACTTTTAACATGGATTTTCAACATCAAAGGCAGTGCTTAGGATCAATTTCATTTTTTGTTTCCATGGATCCAGATACGGATCCATGGATCCAGATCCGGATCCATGGATCCAGATCCGGATCCACGGATCCAGATCCGGATCCAAAAACAAGTTTTTTCAACAGGTTTTGGTTTAAACTATTCCCCTTTGATTCGGATTGGGGGATCTTAATATTTTTGACGTTTATAGGAAAGTTGGAGGCCATGAAAAGTCCCCCACCCCTTTAATTCAACTCCGCCATGCAAGCCCTCATATTTAATAATTTAGGTTAGCGGAATACTGAACAACCTGAAAAATATGGCGATGGATATGAACTCAGAACTTGAAAACCAAAATGAACAAATTGATAGGATTACTATCAAGGTAGATTTTTTAATACAGCTCTTTTACTAGCTATCGGCTACTGGACTTTAAAGGTCTCAAGCTCTGAAGCTAAAATTATGAGAATTTTGCCAATTACTTCTTAAAACTCAAAGCTCAACAAGTGCTTTATAGTGCTAAAATGAACATGTAAAGGGCTACAGAAAAGCAACATTAGTTAGAACGGTAAAATCGAAAACTAAGGCATTGTGACACTTCAAAGTAGACCCTCTCATAAAAACTTATGAGACTTTTTATAAGCAGGCAGAATCTATCTGCCCCCCCCCTTGAAAAATGTAGATCTAATTTTCCTCAAATCAATCCATTTTTTTTATTTAAAGAGTTTGTAGGAGTAAGTTTACTTTAAAATACAAGTTCTGAAGTCACGCGGTTTTGTAAGTGCTTTATTTTTAACTCAATGTAAAATTGGATTTCCATAATACATCTTCATATAAAGAACTAAAACTGTGTTCTTCATTTTAATTGGTTTATATTTAGGCCACAAGCAATGAGAACAGGGTGACCACAGCCAATAAGAAAGCAGTTCAACTTCTTAAGTAGTTTGGGAGTTTAGAAAATAATTTTAAAATGTCCACAAATGAACTGATAAAAGAAAACAGTTCAAAGCGACTAAATATGTAATTCTAAACTAACCCTCTATTTACAAAGAGGCATGTCTGATTCAGAGCGGTACCTTTAAATCTTACTCTGATGATGACGGAGAAATTCTAGTTTCCCACGAAATATGACAGTTGGTAAATAGTTTAGAATGTCTTCTTCCATAATTTTTTGTTGTCTTATACCAAAGAAAATAATAAAAAATATTATTTAGGAGTCATATTATAGTAAAATTAACTTCAAAGAAAAATATATTTGAGCAAAAGATTTTTTTAACGAAATAAACTGCAAACAGCCTTTAATATCTATTACAGTGTATGGAAAACGACATTCAAAACTATTTACCAACTGTCATGTTTCGTGGGACACTCTGTAGCAGAGACGATCTTCCTTATTGTTACTCAGATAAAGGTTTAAAGAATCCCGCTGTGAATCCTGGTTTGAAATTCCCTCTACACTCAACAGTCCCTTAATTAATTAATTAATTAAATATCCCAACTAGATATTAAGCTAACTTGCTGTTAAACTTATCTTAGAATTTCGTTAAACTTCCAGCTTTTATTGTGATTCAAGGGTTGTGTTTTCTTAATTATTGTAAATGTAATTTCTCAGTTTATTATTTGAATCCGTTGTAGCTTAAGGCATTAAAAAGTAGAGATGGGTGCTTTTGGGTTTTTCATTTTTATGTTAATCGTTCAAAAAAATAATTTCGGTATCGTTCATATTCCATCTATTTCGTTCGTTTTCTCAGTGAACGATCGTAAAATCATTCGTTCAATAAAATCTTTTTTTTTCAGTTAAAAAAGGCATAGTTTTTTTCAAAAGTTTGTAAGACAAAATTATTCGATAAGTAAAAACCCTATCGTTTTTTTTAAAGTTTGTTCCAAAAAATCGTCATTCAGTATATACGATCGTTTAGTAAAAAAGTAAAGTTTTTCATGTTCGTTCGAATAATTTTAAATCGTTCAGTTTTTTGTTAGTTTTTTAAATAGTTAGTTTTTTCATTTCTCTGAACAGTCGTTCGTCCATTGTTCGGTTTTCTTGCAGAACGACTCCATTGATCAGGAAAAATTTTGTTTGTTCACAAAACTATGCCCATCTCTATCAAAAAGAATAATAATAATAAACGAACTATAAATCTCAACCAAAATGAATAATTTGATGTATATTTCAATTAACTGGTAAATTATAAATATGGTTAAATGTTTTAATGTGTATTTTATCTAAATATTGTACCTGATAATAAACTGTTGAAGTATATAAGATGTTGTGTCTCACATTTTTAAAGCAAAAATGTTGTAGCGCTCAAACTAAACATTTTTTGCTTACATTTATACAACCCATACATGTCGATAATTTCACAACATTTTATGTGAATTTACTGAATAATTCTACAACTTGTTCTAAATGCTTTCTTCAGGAAATTACAGGTAGGGTTGTTAATTTTATTTTAAAACAAATAGTTTTTTGAAAAAAAAAACGATGGGTTACAACGAAAAAACCACCCGTTTTAAACTTTCAAAAAACGAAAAACAATCGTTTTTGAAAAAATATTCGACAATGAATCTAAGTTTTATGACACTTGATTTCGCTTCACTTTCAGTAAGATAAGTTTAAAAATATTGTCATAAATGGTTTGTTTTTATCAAGAGAAATAACCTGAATCTCCTTCTTTCCATCTTCTCCTTCTTCCTATCTTCTACTTCTTCCCATCTTTGCTTTCTTCCCATCTTCTCACTCTTCCCATCTTCTACTTCTTCCCATCTTCACCTTCTTCCAATCTTCTTCTTCCCATCATCTCCTTCTTCCCATCTTCTCCTTCTTCCATCTTCTTCTTCCCATTCTTCCCATCTTACCTCCTTCTTCCCATCTTCTCCTTCTTCCCATCTTCTCCTTCTTCCCATCTTCTTCTTCCCATCTTCTCCTTCTTCCCATCTTCTTCTTCTTCCCATCTTCTCCTTCTTCCCATCTTCGCTTTCTTCCCATCTTCACCTTCTTCCCATCATCTCTTTTTTCCTATCTTCAACTTTTTCCCATTTTTATTTTATCCGGCCCATCTTTTTCTTATCTTCCCATCCTCTTCATCTTCCTTTATTCTCCTTCTCATCTTATCTTCTTGTTCCCTTTCTCCTAGTTTCCATCTCCCCCTTCTTTGCCCCTATAGCTATGCAACAAATAGCGCAATTTCAGCCCCTTTTTAGCCTAACAACAGTTCAATATAACATACTCTTTCTGGCCTTTTAGATTCTTATGACCTTCCCTAAAATCTTGGCTCCCTATAAAATGTTCGAGAATATCCTATAACATAGTCTAGGGACTGGCCTCCTTATATACATAATCTAATAGGATATCCCCTAGAATCTACTCATGTGCAATGTGCATCCCAGAATAATGAAGAATTGGGAAAATTATTTCGAGACATATACAGGGTGTCCCACAAAACATGACAGTTTAAAGATGAAAAAAATCTTCTTTAATCTTTGCAATAATTTGCGGAAATTCATTTGTCAAGCTAATTTTAGAATTAAAATGCTTGAGTTTAAAATCACAAAATATCCAGTCATTTTTATTACAAAATTGCTGCCTTTTTTAACACAATTCATGTATCTTTTAGATCTAATTTATAATCATAATTCCATTTGGATCAGAATTTGTTGAGTTTGCTTTTAACCTTTGTGACAGAAACAATCTCAAGAACTGACGAGGGTCAACCCAGAGCGAAATATATTTTCAATAAATCTATTTTTTTACTCTACAGAGGTTTGGTCCATCACCATCACCGAATTTTAAATAAACCATTTGTTTCGTTTTCAATCCCAGATTTCGAGTCCTAAGAAAATGTTCACATCAGAAATAAAAAAGGTTTTAATAGAGCAGTGGTGATTAGTTTTTAGCGATTTCTCATGAAAGTGTAATACACAAAATAATCATTTTCCCGGGTTTTGGCAACAAAAAATATTTTGTTTATATTACAGGGTGTCCCAATAAACATGGGAATTCAGTGATGAATTCGAGATCGTCTTTTCAAATAGTTCTTTGATTTAGTAGTGTTACCTACTGAGAAAGCTGTAATCTGTAAGCGTTTCGTCTGCTATGTTCACATTTTGTTTGTTAATGTTTTGACTGCATACGGTTGTACTCAGTAAAACATGAAAATTGCAGAATACAGAGTAAACTTGTCCATCTTCACTGTTCATCTTGCGGAGACATTATAGACACATCTTTGCAGTATTTTACCCTTTTCATAAAATAAGCTCTAGCAGACATAATAATATTATGGCTTTTGAAATTAGGTATTACAATGCTAATGCATAACAAAGACGATATCAAATTCGTCACTGAATTCCATGTTTTTTTGGGACACCCTGTACCATAGTTAAAAATTGTTTTTATTTATATTTATTTATTTCAATGTTAGCAAGGCATACAATGCCACACATATTTTACAATAACCCAAACAAAACATGTATACCAAAAACAATCTTTAAGTAATGAAGAAATTATTTATCAAAATTTATATTTTAAGGCACATTTTGTTTCCTCAGGATTGTAGGTATAGACAGTAAGTACAAAATGTAATGTTTTAAAAATACAATATGGTTTGAAGTCAACATGAGAATTAATGCTGTTAGGACTTGAATATCCCCTAACTAGTGTTTTAAGAACTAAAAGCATTTGAAGTCTCAACTATCAATTCTCTGCAGCTTTGATTAGTTAGTATTTGAAATATTCACACTTTACAACTAGGCGGCCAAAAAATACCAAGTTTTTATTTTATCAAAAAACCTTTTTTTACTTCGTATTTCTGAGAACATTAATTTTTAGGTAAAGATTTATGTTATTGATTAGATAACCTGGTCTTAATGAGAACCCAGATTTCTGGTCTAATGAACAAATATGAGTAAAATATGAATTCTGATCAAGATTTTAATTTGTGGTATTAAATCAGAGGCATACTTGCTAACCTAATATAGGTGGTCAGAAAGGTATGCTCAAGATAAAGAATCAGTTGAACAAATTTTCAGCAAAATTTCTTTGTTTAGAATAGCCTTATGTGAAAATACAGATTTTTGTTTATTAATTAGATGGAGACTGGTGGTGAAAACAGGATTAACTAAAAAACTTATTCAAAATCTGCTAGATATAGCTTGAATTAGTTTTAAATTTCTTCACTAGATGTAGCATGAAGTTCTAAATTTCTTCTCTAGATGTAGCTTGAAATACTTCAAAATTTCTCCACTACCTCTAGTTTGAAATAGTTCAAAATTTCTCCGCAAGATGTAGCTTGAAATAGATCAAAATTGTCCCACTAGATCAGGTGTAAGTTAAAATAGTTGAAAATATTCCCACAAGGTGTAGCAGTTGAGTATTTTCTGCAGTTTATGATCGGTTAGCAGGAGAATATCCCTTGGTTCTGCAGCAACCACACAAACAATCTAAAATGGGAATATTTAGGAAAAAGGAACAAATTATTTTCAATAAAAAAAGACACAAAACTTTTTTATAATAAGAAAAGTTTTCTTATACCTATATCTTTTCAACCTGATGGCGTAATATTTTGTTATTTCAAACTTAGACTATTTTATGCAAGCCTGAATGTATAGTTTAAAATGTTAAAGGTCTACAACATCGTATATTGAAGACATAAATCATAGTTTTGAGTTTGTGGCAAGTACTTAGTTCCTTTGTAGGATACATGTAAGACGGCTGTTGTGATAGGTTTTGGGAATAAATTGTTTTAATCTCGAAATGAGATGAAGTTAGCCCGTTGGCCGGAAAAAGATTACCACCTAAATTATAAGGTAGTAAAAACTGACAAAAAGTTATCTAGGAAATTAAACCAAGTTCCAACCATAAGCATTGAAAACCATTTTGTTACGAAAAATATGACAATTTTTTAGCAATATAACCAAATTTTGGATCAAAAATGTTTTATGTTAAAATAAAATATTCCAGAAAAATTCTGTTACGATGAATGTGTCTCTCTACCTAGAATTCCTGAGCAGCAAGCATAGAGGAAGCAGCATGGGCAGCAGATACAGGCTACCAGAGCAGACAGGATAAGCAGAGCAGCTAATCCCAGAACCAACCAGCTGTACCAGATTAATCTACACTGTCCTGTCACGGCTAGAATAAAAAACTTTATTATATATATTATATATATTATATATCTTAGCAATTGAGAACCCAGTGTTGCTTAGGGTAATCATAGTTACTTCCTCGGTTGAACATGCAGGACTTGGTCGTAAATTATGATTTTATCATCTTTTCCCTTTACAAGTAGGCCCAACTCAACTAAGAATCTTAAAGCCAAGCTAAGAACATTCCCGTGGTTCTCCCGTGTTCCCCAAGCAAATCGGTCAAGAGGTTCCTGAGTTGTGATAGGACATTCAAACAAACAAACAGACAAAGATTAAAACGTTATATATATATATATACATATAGATGCTAAAATTATTACTAAAAGCCAATTATACAATCAGGGTAACCCACAAATGATGAGAATTCAATGGAATCTATTTTATGCAAAAATTGCTAAATTATACGAAAATATATGACTTTGATTATTACGTATTACATAACATATCTACCAATTCAGTAATTATTTCATTATCGAGGTCTTCAAGGTTTATTCTAGAAAAATCCGGAACTTTCAATGCGTGCTCCAACGGGACATCAAAATATTTCAATTGTTTCTTAACTAAAATCAGATCAGACATTTTTACAAAACAATCATTTCCGTGTTTATTGTTAGTCATTTTTACATAAATTAGAAAGAAATCTAATGCAGAACGTAGAACTTGCTTCAATTGTCTTATAGACATATAAAATTAGTTAAATACATAGTTGTGAAATACTTTCAATTAAAAACCGTATAGGTTTTGACAGGGTGTCCATGTGGTGTATACAGGGTGTCCCACATCATATTAGATTGTTTAAAGCTCTAAATTGAGATTTTAGGGACCAATCAGAAAATTTAAAGAATGAATTATCTAAATAATTTGTATTAGGCTAATGTAAAAATTTTCTTGCAGAAAATACCAGGCTTTTCGAGTATTATATGCGTTTTGGCGTTAAAGCTTGGTAGATAATTCAATATGATATGGGACGCTTTGTAAATAAAAAAGAATTCTAATTATATCTAGATTATGTCTTTTTATTTACATTTTAAGGTTTCAACCCCGTTTCTTTCTTACTTTGTCAATTCACGTAAATCAATAAGGCTTTAACTCACACCAGACTTACCAGAGTGAGCAGCATTCGGTTTCTTCTATTTGAAGTCAAACGTGCTTTGGTCTTTAATTCAATAATCATTTACTTTACGGATTTGTTTATACTATACTTTTTCATTCGAAATGCATGTGCCAACAAAAAAGTATTTAAGAAAAAAGGCTAACAAATTATTTTTAATGGGTCAAATTGTGATCGAAAGTCACAGCTTTCTGGAATATTGACAGAACCGTTAAATCCACGTGAACTATAGTAAGAAGAGCCCATATTTAATGTTTAGTCTAAATTTATCTATAAATTTATAGGTTTATAGCTTCATTAAAGGGAGTGACCCGCAATGTATAGTAGTGGAACTGAGAATGTGGTTTTGTGGAGAATCTTTTTTAGGATTTATTCGAGACATATTAAACGTTTTAATGTATCTTTACTGAGTTTGAGCGCATAGTCGACGTTCAAAGTCATCCATTTGGGTGTTTACGTTTTGAGAATAGATTTTAAAAAATTAGTAAGTAACAACAACAAAAATGTAACAAAAATTCTACAGTAAACTAATTACCTGTTTAAAAACAGGTTGAGAAAATAAAATCGAAAATAAGTAATCTTATTCAGTTATTGGTTTCTGTAGATTTTCTGGCCAATTTTTATTGAAGAGACGACATTTGAAGAATTTGTAGAAATCTTCAAACAAATTCAACATAATGATGAACACGAAATTATTGATTTTAACATTGATTAATTGACAAATTTCTGTTGAGAAATATGTTCCTAAACAAATAATTAGTTTACTGTAGAATTTTTGATAAATTTTTGTCGTCGTTATTTAATAATTATAAAAAAGTTGATTCTCAAAACCAGTGCTTAGGATCCATTTAATTTTGATACGGATCCGGATCCTGGATCCGCACTGGAAAAAAATGGATCAAGATCCAAATCCGAATCCGGATCCAGGTCATTTCTTTATGATTTACTGAATTTTTCAACAAAAAATAATTTTCAAATTTTTTGTTTTATTTTTTTTTGGCTTATTTTTATCCTAAAGCTTGATGAAGCATTCAGAAATGAGGAAATTTTTATAATCTCTCTCTTTTCAAAAGTTCAGCTTTGGGTTTTAGGAGTAAAAAAGTTTTTTTTTTTTGCAGTTTTTGGTTGATATTTTACTCCTTGCATCTGCATATTTTTGCGGATCCAGTTACAGATCCAGGAAGCCAAAATCTTGCAGATCCAACGGATCCGAATCCTAAGCACTGCTCAAAACGTAATTTTGAACGTCGACTTTGCGCCCAAACTCAGTAATAATACATCATTAAAACGTTTTTATGTCTCAAATGAATCCTATAACATTTCTCCACAATAATACATTTTCAGTTCAACCACCATACATTGCCGGTCACTCCCTTTAATGTCTCATCCATAGGGGGAAACTATGTAGATATGCATATACATATTTGGCTTGGGTGAGTGTCTGTTTGTCCACTAAACGTCAAAACGGCTGAACCGAACGTAAAGTAAAAAAATAAAAGTGTTGCTTACATATCGATGTTTCTCTATGGCAGTAAGAAACGTATTCCAAACAACTGCTGTCCGTGACACAGATTCCGCCCCACAACGAGTCGATCACTCCAGACACCTTAATTAGAAGTCATTACGCTGTTAAAATGGATTATGTCCTTTTTCCAAACAACTATAACAAGAACGATCAGATTTTGCTTAAAGGACATCGTTGTGAATCTGACAAGCAATTTTAATTTTTTTTTAATTTAGTACAAATATCTTAATTAAAATCAAAATGTCTAAAAGGCAATGCACATTTAAAATATATTACTTCATAATTACGTCGAATTATTAAAATATAAGTTTGTAATGAAATATATGCATTTTTCCCAAGAAAATCTTGGTTTGCACTTAGGCTGTAAATTGAGAAGAATTTTTGCAGAGTTTTGCTAAGGTTCATATTACATTTCTTATAAAAAGGGGGAGAGGGGGAGCAAGGTTTTAAAAACAGTGCCTGCACTGACATTTGCACAACGGATTGCTTAACAAAGACAATTATTTAAATTTCACAGCGCATAAACATGTAAATTATGTATTTAGCCATATTTCACGAAAATCATATTCAACAGAAAACCTTAAACCAGGCCAGGGAGAAACAATCGAAGGGTGCCGAAGTTGACCCAACCCGACTTTTTAGTTATAATCACGTTGCTTTAAAATCAGATGTTGACAAGGTGCTTGGGTCATGCCGACAATAGAGACTTAGGACAATTAGAATAACTTGATGATTCAGGTCCATGGTGAGGGCACCTTTTGGACCAACGCTGAATTTCTAATCCCTATATCTTTGCAACCCAATGATATTTTAAGGCATATACATTCTGTTAGATCAAATAATCTAAGTTTGAATTAAGGTTTACGTCAGTTTCCAAATAAAAGAAGCGAAAACTTGAGTTTGTGGTTCTGGCTCAATTCTTTTACATGACAAAATGGATAAATCTTTAGTTTAGATAACTTCAGATGTTAAACAATATTATAAATTGTATTTATTTGACTAGGAACTGATTATCTGCCCCAAGCTCTGATTATTGATACTTTAGCAATTTGATCAAGCCTAATTCATAGTTGTAAGTATCAAAGATCTATGACATTCAGGTTGCAAAGAAAAACTGATCATAAAACTAGAGTTTGAGACGAGTAATGTTCGACAAATTTATTTAATAATCATTAAATAATAATATGCACTGAATGTATTATAAAACCTATCAAAAAGACAGGAAAATAAAAATCTGTTCCCTGTAAACAGGAGATCATTGTAGTGTGGCATGGATGCCCATAATTCCGATCCCTTGATCTCAATATCCACATGTGGGCACTTCAGAATTGTTTACTGATATCCCATGATGCTTTTATCCAGGAATAACCTTGGTGTTTCGCCTTAAATCTTAAATTTTTATCTAAAATATTAATTTTGCCCCCCCCCCTCCCGTAGTGTTCATCCTAATTACGTCCCTGACTTTCTGCTCTCGGATAAAACCAATTATTACATTTTTGTTATTTTGAACAAATTATTTTCAGTTAATTTCTATTTTTAATTTTAGTAGAATTTTTTACCTCTTTTTCAAATTCTTTTTCATCTTCCTCAGCTCCAAGGAGTGCCCTTTAATAATAAATAAATCAGTTATTAATTAGAATTATAGCTTGCTATAATTTCCAAGGGTGGATGGGGGGGGGGTAGTGTGAATTGCAAACATTCAAGAGGAAAGCCAATTAAAAATATGAACCACTGAATACATAGGAACCATTTCATGCAATGATAAAACAATACAGAAAAATGATGATCTAATTAAAATTTGTACAATAATCCCTCCCTTCCTTTAGAGAAATATATGTCAGCGTATATAAAAAAAATGATAAAAAATAAAAAAGTTTTGCTATAAAGTCGTCTGGTTATCACTGTACACGATCCACACAAAAAAAACTTTTAATTATAAATGTTTCATATAGTTTTTTTTTATTCTGTTTATCTGTCTATCTGGTTGTCTGTATTTTGTTTTGTGTCTGTCTGTTTGTGTATCTATCTGTCTATTTATCTGTAAGTATATCTGTACGTCTTTCTGTCTATTTATCGGTATGTCTGTCTTTGCTAATTATCTTTTTTCCATCTGATAATCTGAGTTCGTTTCCCTTATGTCCATTTGACAGCCCAAATTATTTTGAATAATCTTTTTTGTTTGTTTATTTTCTTGTGATTTTTAATTAACATATTTTATATTTTTTTTATCAATTTTTATGATTATTATATCGTTAGAACTGACGAGGGTCAACCGCGACCGAAATATATTTTCAATAAATGTGGAACTAACATCTACTTTTTTACTCTACAGAGGTTTGGTCCATCACCATCACCGAATTTTATATTTATCTGTAAGTGTTTCTATGTGTCTATCTGTCTATTTCTCTGTATGTCTATCTGTCTATTTATCTGTATGTCTATCTGTCTATTTATCTGTATGTATATCTGTCTTTTTATCTGTATGTATATTTGTCTATTTATCAGTATGTATATTTGTCAGTTTATCTGTATGTCTATCTGTCTATTTATCTGTATGTATATCTGTCTATCTACCTGTTGTACGTGGCAGCATGAGCACAAACTGCTACTAAAGCAAGAACAAGAACTATTTTCATATTCATTTTTTTATCTGAAAAAGATTTAAATTAATAAATAAGTTTTACAATTTGATTTTTAACATAATTTTTAATATATTTACTAACAACGGAAGGAAGTACCATGTTTGAGGGAAGTGAGTGGGATGGAAGTGTAAGGATGAGTAATGTTTAAACGATTAGGTGTACCTAAAATACTGATAAATCATAACAACACATGGACGCACTTTTTAACACTTTTCTTTAATGATGGGGCCGGAGAGGCCGGACGCATAAAAAGTGACAAATCTACACTTGTTACAGTTTACAAGTAATTTCTTTCTAAAAGGGACTTAAGCGTAAATTCAAGGGAACCTCCGTGCAAAGATGGCATTGCCTGATTCAAAATGGTACCCTCCATAAAATGTTCTTATCAAGTATGAATCACATGTCACACATATCATTGTTTAAAATTTTGAAAACTTATTATTTTCTATTGTGGTTTCTCTGCTAAAGTGACTTTGAGACCTCGTAGCTCCTCTAGTTTTAATTTTATGCACAAGTATGAGCATGTCAAATTTATCAACCTACAAACAGGAAATTCAAAACATGTTTCTTCTTACCAATAGCTCTTTCATTAGAGGAGTTATGAATGAAAATAAATAAGATTTCATAGTTACGTAAAATATTTACTCCAGTTTAACGTAATTTCTATACTTCTTAACTTTACAACCTGATGACCACTGTGTCTAAACTTTAATTCTTGAACTGCAGCTATACAGATTATCAGGTTACAAATATATCAGAATTCAAATTTTGTACTTTGCGGCAAGTAATCAGTACCTTTGAACTAAAATATAAGAGTTTATAACTAAATGTTATACATTATAACATATCTATGACAGAGTATGACGAAGTGAATTCAGTGAATAGGGCTAAGGCGTATAAGAACTGAGTCGTGACTTATAATGCTAGATATATATCTTTTACAGAGAATATACAGAGAGTCACAGAAAACTAAAACTTATTCTGATAATAGTTATATTTTTACTCCCATCCCCCTCCCCCGCCAATTGTCAATGATTTTTTACCCTTTTTTGTACTTTTTACCTACAAATTCAATCAGTTTCCCCTTAAAATCCAATTATTTCCCAAAATCAAGTGAATAAACGATACGAATATCGCCTGCAGGGGGCAAATTCATTTTAAAGGGGGGGGGGATTTTTGAAGACTTATTGATGTTTAATTGAAAATTAACAGAACTTTCTCTTAAGAGCAATTGAGAGAAATTTTTCTTTTTTGTATAACAAAGAAATTTTTTCATGAAATCTTGCTACATACGTCAAAGCCTTTGTTAAAATTGACTTTAATATCATTAAAATTGGAAATAATTCTAAAAATTATACATGTTCTACAAATTCAAAAGAAATTAAATTTTTTTAATTGAGAAATTGAAAAACAAATTTTAATGTTGCAAAATTTAGAAAAAGCGGTTTACACAGTATTTTTACTTTCTTATAAATTTGCATCAACAATAATTGCGCATAGAAAGGGGTACAACCCCCCCCCCCCTCCCTTTAACTTTACAAGTCTCTAGAGTGTAGGTGATAAACATATATTATATCGCAAACTCATATAAAATGATAAGAGCTGAGTTTCACGACTGTATACTGCTCTATTTGCTATAGACTGAGGAGCATGTATCAGTGCTGCACCCCCCCCCCCCCCCCCCCCCCCCCCCCCCCCACCTCATCCTGCGCAGCCGGACACAAAGGGAGAAGGGGGGGGGAGTTACCAGGCAAGGAAAAGGGTGGTTACCGGCCCGTATTGGAACAAGGGAGACGTATGAAAGACAGGCAAGCAAAGCTGGGTTCCGGGTGTTAAAAGGCCCCAAACGACCAAAACCAGCCTTAATTTGTGTCAACCCTTTTTTTCAAAACTTTATTAAAAAATGAGCTTGTGTAAATTACTTAAGAAGGATTTTAAAATAAAAAAGATTGAAAATAAAATCGAACCCTGTTCAGCTGTGGTATAGAACAGGTTCTATCAGGCAGAAACTTTAGGCTTTACAGGCAGCTCAGAGAAATCTAGAGAGTAGATAGAAAGATAGATAGATATAATAGATAGAAAGATACATACATCGAAAAATTGATAGATAGATAGATAGATAATATAGATAGATAGAAAGAAAAGATGGATATAGATTAGGTAGATATATGATATAGACAGATAAATAAATAGATAGATGGATAGATTGAATGATATATATAGACAAAATTGAATAATGGATAAACGTATAGATCTAATTGGGATATATAGTATATTTTTCAAGTTTAGGAAATTTTTCAAATGCCTAGAGCTATTTGGGAAATTCCCAAATTCCAAGAGGTTTGGGGAATATAAAAATTTCCAGTAAAATTTCCACAAAAAATATCCAGTCAAATTCCTACAGGAATTTGGGAAATTTCGGGAACTCCCCAAATGCATGGAAATCTGAGGAATTCCCAAAATTCCTATTTTAATCAAAAGTATACTTGCTGTCGGGTCATGAAAAACCCTAATATTTTGGCAAAAGTACTGATTAGCTTCTGATCTATATTAGAACCGTATAACTTTCATACTTAGACTTTGCTTGGTTTAGAACATGTATTTGTTGAAATTATATATCAGAGGAGCAAAGAAAATGAGATTTTGACAAATTTTCAAAATTATCATCCCTATATCTGTGCAACCCGATGTTGTAGATCTTTGATAATTCAAACTATTAATTCTATGAAATAAGGTTTACACCATCAGGTTTCAAAGAAATAGGGATTAGAAAATTTGAGTTTGTGGCAAAACCTAAGTTTATTTTCTTAAAATCTTTCCCCCTTTCAAAAATAATTTTCCACACCAAAAATTATGATGTTTGTTGGGAGCAGCAATAAAATGTGTATGGTTTTATTTGCTAAATATTTGGGTATGACTTGTAATAAAAAGGATAAAAACATGCCTTTTGATGATGTTAAGATTATCAAAATATTAATTTTTCCTACAGAAGTAAGTTGAGAATTTGTTTGCGCGGAATATCAAAACAATTTTTAAGGTTTTACTTTTAATTGGTTTATTTTTGATATATAAATTATAACATAAGGTTTTTTTAATATATATTTCTACGTTCTAAACAATTATTCATTTAAATGTATTTGTATTTTATCGTTAATAAAAGTTTGAAGAAGAGCTGGTTTATTTTTGAGTTAAAAGAATTAAAAAGGATGAAAAACTTGCCTTTTGATATCCAACTTTTCTATTCTTTTTTGATTACCAAAACTATTACCCCGTCCTGGCCGCAGCGCTCGGCCCCTAGCCTGTCCTAGCCGCAGCGCTAGGCCCAGAAATTGTCTTAACCTAACCTAACCCTAAAATAATAAAAATGAAAAATAATAATTTNCCCCCCCCCTGGTCACAAATATAATGCTTTAAGTCTATGAAGTTTGTGAATGTGAAACTTGAGTTATGTGAGTCATATTCATAATTATACAGAGAGCTTTTCTTCTGACCATTGTACTTCCGCCTGACCAAACTTTTGACCCACTCGAATTTTTGCACAGACTCTATATTTGGGTTCAATGCACTTATAGGTTGAATTATGCTTAATATGTTTCTTATGTGGAATAACAGATGTTTAAGTTAATTGTACATTTTTCATCCCTTTTACAGGTTGGAGGCTCTTAAGAAATTATCCATAACGTCTAATTGTTTTCTACAGGAATCCTAAAATTTGTCCCTATTATACTTCGGTCTCAGTTCAACTAGGCTAACAAGACACCCTCTCACTTTAATTGCAATCAATAACGTTAGTTCAATTCGTTCAATCGGCTATTTATTTGTCCAATCCAATGATATATCATTAAAGAATAAAGAATCAAAAGTAGCGGAGAACCGATGTTACATTTCTGTCGTCTTCATTCATGTTTATGATTAATACAAATCTGCGGCAGTCTGTGCTCAGAGATTATTATTAAACGCCGCCGCGTCATTAGCCGGAAAATTTGTTTTATTTTTTCCTTAACATTTCTCTGCTTCTTCTAACCAGTGAAGAATATCAATTACAGAGTTGCAGATGCGTCATTGGGGTACTTTTTATTAGTGAGAATTTTGTTTTTCACATCTTGCTCATTGAGTTTTTAAATAATTACTGTGCTATTCATTGAGATATGCTATACTTTTACAATTTGCCCTTGATTTTGACTTGCAAATTCCTTTCCTTACTGCACAATGCAATACTCAACCATACCGGAAACCTAGATACATTTAGAATCAGAAGAAGAATTGGTTAATTATATACACGGCTAGGGTGTCTTAACATCATATTGGATCGTGTTATGCTTTCAAATGCAGTTCCTGGGGTTCCTGAGGCTTATCAGAAAATCTGAAAAGAACAAATAACTTTTTAAACAGAATTTAAAGATTTGTTATCAGAAATACTAAATTTTTCGAGTATAATATGTGACTTTTGTCGTTAAAGCTTGGAGATAATCCAACATGATTTGGTACGCTCTGTATGTTGCCCATGAAAAGGCCACCGCACCCAATGCGCACCTTTTTATTGTCATCCTCTGACCATTGCGGTTCAAACATTTAATAAAATAAAAATTTATCAAGTCTTGGGTAAGTGGTGAAATTAAGTGTTTTACCAAAAATTGTTCTCTAGGAATATACCAGGGATTTTTCGGGATAATCATAACAAAACATATTTCAGAATATTAAGATGGGGAAAACATATGGAGAGAAACCAATTGTTTTCCGTTTTGAAGAAAACGGCGAAGAATACATGATCGGCTCAGAGGTATTATTTCATTTAGTTGTGAACTGAGATTTTCCTGTGGTTATGTTATTAAGCAGGAACCACAATAAGAGAGGGGGGGGCAAACTGCACCCATATAGCCTCCATTCCGCAATTGACTTATAAACTGCTTATTTACTCAATAAATAAAACAAATAATTTTTCATAAGATGCTTAAAAATGCCCGTTTTTCATAGAACCTAAATCTTTTTCACACTCCATAAAGCTTTTTTTTTTTACTTTTTTAACATTCCAAATAAATCTATAATTTGTATTTCTTAAAGTTTTTAGTTCATCGTCGAAATATACTAACAATCCACCACTAATTTATATTAAATATAGTGTAAACAATAAATATGTAACTTGCCTTATCCTTTCCTTTTCCTTTTATTTCTATTTTTATATTATTTTTAAATTGGGGGGAAATATTCCCACAACCCCTACTTTTAGAGGTTTTTAACTATTTTCTCCTGAAACACTTTATTTTGTATGTTTTTGTTATATTCCATAAATAAATAATTTTTACTTTACTTTAATACGCACCTGCTGATGTTTATCTTCTTAAAAAATGTTTTTGAAGGTCGGGAGAAAGCAATCTTTACCAGTACCAGAAATAACGCAGTATTGCGTGTGATTTGGTTTAAAATTATTTAAAATCTAATAGAACGATAGATATATTTCGAATCCTAATGATAATGGCGTTGCTCAATAAGTTTTTATTATTATTATTCAAATCTATTTATTGTTTAAAAAGTACGTATCACCTAAAAGGAACATAATATATGTATATATATATATCAATAACATTCTGATTTATGCATTTCTAATGAATATGCAGATCGACACAACAACTAACTGTAACAACACAAATTGTTGAATAAATGGTTTTCATGAAATTAATATTTTAGGTTGGAAACTATCTTCGTTTATTTCGAGGAGCGCTTTACAAGAAGTATCCGGGGTTAACTAGGTAAGGATGTTGAGTGAATGCAGGGGGAGGAGGGTTAGCTATCTGGGGCGCCTTAATTCCTGACATAGTTGACATTGNGGGGGGGGGGAGTAATGTGTATGAAAGATTAACAAAAAAGTATAGCAAAAAGCGCCTAACTTTTATTAGATATCCATGTCAGGATATTTGACAGGTAAATATAATTTCACTAGCTATCATGCTAAACCCTAAATAAATATTTTTATATCAACTAGGCTGGGCCCATCTTCTATTTAATTGTGAACATTTTCTCTTTTTATACATTGTAAAACAATAACAAAAAACTTGGCGGATTTTATAAAAAAATTGTTGATTTTCAAAAATTTAATGAAAATTAAATTTAGTTGGAGGCTAATTTTGAAATTTTGATCATTCATAAACCTTTCTTGGGGTCATGTGAGGTCCCACACAAATTTTAGGCCCGATCGGTTTAGCTGCTTTGACGTTTATTGGATACAAACAGACACAAGCAAAGTAAATATATAGATAATAATTGTTTCAAGGCGAACCCTGGCTAATGACGAGAGGAAGAAGTTAAATGAAATGGGGCACAGCCAGCATGTGACAAGCTCCACCATCTCCCTCCTCCTTGCCAGGGAGATCGATGATATAGTCAACGGTGTAGACGACGGGTATGTTTCAAATCTTATTCGTTTATTCAGTGGGAGGTTGAAAATGTAACTATTTAAGCTATGCAACTCCAGGGATCCATATTTTTAAGAATGATTTTTGAAGATCGGGGGAGGGGGGGGGGGGCAAGGAAGGTCTTTCATACGTGTTATATAAAAAAATATTTATCTTTCCTAATTCTAGTTTGCTATAGAGCCTGTAAAACACAAAGATTCTCTCAGTAAAGACAATAAAAATATTAGAAATATTATGTTTAAGTCCACAAGAAACCCATTTTTGTTCGGTAATACAATAACTTTCTAGCCTCTGTATCTAGAAATTAGAGTAAACATGCTGAATAAAGATTTTTACCAAATGTTTTATTACTAATTCAGATATAAGAGCGGAGGAGTAGGTGGTGGCTCAGTGAGCCTGGGAGAAACGCCAGCAAAGGTTTTTGTTTTTTTATTCTTAATATTTAAAAATACATTAAAATGTTTAAGGTAACATTGAATAATTCATCGATTTTTTAAGAATTTACTGAATTGTTGTAAAATCTAGTCTTAAACTAAAGAACCGTGCGATTTTGAAAACCCTTTTTAAGTGAGATTTTTGACAGAAAGTTAAACGCAGTTTTCATAGAATATTTAACTTCTTTTGTTCAGATCTGGTTCAAATCTAAATATTATACATTTATTTATTACAATTATATATATTATAGAAAACACTAATTGAGAATAGATGATTAAGAAGGAAAATACTCTCTTAAACTGCAGTATCTCGTTGTTCTAAAGCCGAGTCTCTCTCCTTGTACACAAATTTTATCCTGCGGACTCAGTTGTATTGTGTACATTCGGAGGTGTGGCAGGCTACAACTGTACACAGTGTACAAGTTCCGTTTCATGTGTGGGGGGGGGGTTGTTGATTTATTTTGATTTGATGATTTTCTTGATGGGTGGCAAAGGAGACTCAGATTGTCGGTCACCTTAGGTTTTACAATTGTAATTGCTCATTTTTTATGATTTTTGGAAGAATTTACTGAATTATAATAGCTCCGTTCTTCGGAAATTTTGAAGAATTTACTGAATTATAATAGCTTCGTTCTTCTGAATTTTTGAAGAATTTACTGAATTATAATAGCTTCGTTCTTCTGAATTTTTGAAGAATTTACTGAATTATAATAGCTTCGTTCTTCTGAATTTTTGAAGAATTTACTGAATTATAATAGCTTCGTTCTTCTGAATTTTTGAAGAATTTACTGAATTATAATAGCTCTGTTCTTCTGAATTATCTGAAGAATTTACTGAATTATAATAGCTTCGTTATTCTGAATTTTTGAAGAATTTACTAAATTACAATTGCTCCGTTCTTCGGAAATTTTAAAGAATTTACTGAATTATTATTGCTCCGTTCTTCTGAATTTTTGAAGAATTTACTAAATTATAATTGCTCCGTTCTTCTGAAATTTTTAAGAATTTACTGAATTATAATAGCTCCGTTCTTCTGAATTATCTGAAGAATTTACTGAATTATAATAGCTCCGTTCTTCAGAATTATCTGAAGAATTTACTGAATTATAATAGCTCCGTTCTTCAGAATTATCTGAAGAATTTACTGAATTATAATAGCTCCGTTCTTCTGAATTATCTGAAGAATTTACTGAATTATAATAGCTCCGTTCTTCTGAATTATCTGAAGAATTTACTGAATTATAATAGCTAGTGATAGGTTGTTGCAGGGTACGAATCGTGACTATGATCACGCCTTTCCTCCAGGTTGTACCCCTCATCGTAGTAGGTGGCTGGGTTGGTTCAGGACTTATCTTACCGGTACGGGTCGGATAGTCTTGTAGGCGGTCTGGGTTGGTTCAGGACTTATCTTACCGGTACGGGTCAGATAGTCCTGTAGTCGGTCTGGGTTGGTTCAGGACTTATCTTCCCGGTACGGGTCGGATAGTCCTGTAGGCGGTCTGGGTTGGTTCAGGACTTATCTTCCCGGTACGGGTCGGATAGTCCTGTAGGCGGTCTGGGTTGGTTCAGGACTTATCTTCCCGGTACGGGTCGGATAGTCCTGTAGGCGGTCTGGGTTGCCCAAGATGGGGCTTCTTGCAGATCTCATCACATGATAGCTCTGTTCCAATAGATAATACTAGCCCAGATTATTTTTCCTTTATTGTTTTTTTAGAATTAGTGGTTTCAGGCCGGGTTCCCGTTTATGTTTAGCAATTGTAATCCATAGAACTATTGAAAAAGAAGACAAAAAAGCAACCATATGTTTATATTTGACAGAGTTATATATATGTGCGGTGTGCACTTTTGTCTGTAGCATGAGATACGATACAATTGCATTGTTTCATGTTGACAGGACTTTCGAAAGTAGTCTTCTTATGGGTTTCACTGTATTATTATTTTGTTATCCAGGTTATCCCAGCTAAGATTAATAAACCTACCCCTGCTGTTCCTGCCATGGCAAGCTCATCACACCTGGATGCAGTTCCACAAGCCACTCCTATTAATAGGTAATAGTCCTTAAAATCTAGATCGTAATAAATATCCAGTTCTACGAAACCGTAGCTTAGCAGCAAATTAAAAAAAAACATTTAAAAAACATCCATTTTTTCTCTCATTAACATACATCTTGTGTGAAAACTAAAGATTATTATTAAACAGAAAATATTTTGAGGGAATATATGTACCAACAAATCTATTATTTGTAAAAAAAAAAAGATCGAAGTGTTCTGAAAACGGATTTTTTTTTAATTCATTTGGAATAAGGGTTCTGTTAGATATTAATAATTTAATGCAGGGTTGTTTATTTTCTTAAAAATCATTCCACCCCCTCTTTTGAAAATAATTTTTCTTCCCCAGAAGTAAGATTTTTTAGGATTTTATTCATTAAGTTAGGGAAAATAGATTTTAAACTAGCCTTTTCATGTCCAATATACCGCCCCCCGCCCCCTTCTTAAAAATATACATACACCCCTGATTTAATGTAACGGGTGGGGAATGGTCCTTCCCACACCTGGCGGGGAGGTCTGGGGGGTCAACATTGGGGTCTCTTGCAGATTCCATTTCTTTATGCCCTTTAATGAAAATGTTGACACATAATAATTTGGGATGAGGATGTCAACCTTGGGTTACGGCCAACTCAGGTTCCCAGAAAACTTTCACCCGGGTTGGCCTGCATCCAGAAATTATTAATAGAAGAAAACCTGGGTGGATTTAACAGACAACCCCAGGCGTTTACAAGATGCGTATCGCGAGGGGAAGTACTAATGGGTACCATAGTAAAAACTGAAAATAATAACTTATGTGATGATATGATAATATTATTTGCAGGAACCGTGTAATCCATAAGAAGATCAGAACCTTCCCTCTCTGCTTCGATGATACCGATCCTGCAACAGTGCATGAGAACGCAGCACAGCCAGAGATACTAGTTCCTATCAGGTAGACAGATAGACAGATAAACAGATAGATAGATGAACAGATAAACAGATATATAGATAAACGGATAGACAGATAGACAGATAGACAGATAGACAGATAGACAGATAGACAGATAGACAGATAGACAGATAGACAGATAGACAGATAGACAGAAAAACTAGTAACCTCTTTAATAGAGCGTTATACAAATTCATCGAAAATTAATACTGGAAAGTAAAAAAAAAATCTAGAAAAATGAAAATCTAAAATCTATATTTTTCATTTTCATCAATGTCAAAGTCTGATTTTATTGCAAATGACAAGTCTGATTTAATTGAATGACAAATCTGATTTAATTGAATGACAAATCTGGTTTAATTGAATGACAAATCTGTTTTATTTGAATGACAAATCTATTTATTTGAATGACAAATCTTATTTAATTGAATGACAAATCTGATTTTATTGAATGCCAAATCTTTTTATTTGAATGACAAATCTGATTTATTTAAATGAAAAGTCTGATTTTTTGGAATGACAAATTTGCTTATTTGAATGATAAATCTGATTTATTTGAATGACACGTCTGATTTATTTTAATGACAAATCTGATTTATTTAAATGATAAATCTGATTTATTTGAATAACAAGTCTGATTTAATTGAATGACAAGTCTGATTCATTTATAAATATAATGAAAAGTCTGATTAATTTGAATGATAACTCTGCTTTAATTCATAAAAAAAATGGTTTATTGAAACTATAAGTCTGATTTTGTTAAAAAGTTTGATTTTCCTATGTCAGGTTATGTGCGATGATCTGGATCTGAACCCGGTCAACTTTGTACCTGCCATCACTGCAGCCATCAACCAGCAGGTAGAAGACCGTATTTTAACTCTTTTCTTGGTTCAATTTTAAACCAAGAAAACTTCAAACTATCAGAAATTCCCACATTGAAGTTCATTTTTCGGTGATAACACTTAGATTTAAAAAATGTTCAAAAAATTATGGAATACCTAGTATGTATCCATGAGTTGCCAAAAAAAAAATACTATTTTAAGTGAGGGAATAGGTTTCAGTGTTGTGTCCTTCTTAAACTCGTTAGTTATTGGCATGTCCATTCACAAAGTTATCCTTTAAATCTATTTGAGAAACAATTTAGTTTTGACAAGTTTCTTCAATATCGCTGTACTACTAAATCCGCAAAAATAAGGACATCTTATTCATCCTTGATCAGATAAAGGGTTGTAGGTAATCGTTGGAAATCTGAAATGCCAATTTATAAATTTAGGGTCACTTAACAAATGTGTATACGCTAGTAGGGTTACTAGACATTTTAACGTTCATGTCATGGTATTGGGAGGGTTACTAGACATTTTAACGTTCATGTCATTGTATTGGGAGGGTTACTTATCATTTAAATAAATTAATCTGTATTGTTTCTGTAGTTGGAGAGCTTTCCTAGTGAGACAGAGAACCTACTCCGGGAGCAACGGGATCAGAGAGTTGTTGTCAAGCTCAATATACATATTGGAAACCATAGTCTCGTAGACCAGTTTGAGTGGGATATTGCAGAGGAAAATAATTCTCCAGAGGTAGATTGTTCGTGTTCTTCTCCTCCCTCCTTTCCAACCCTTTCTCACCTTGATTTCTTACTTTACTTACCCGCGTCTCTCCAATTTGGTGAATACGACCACCCCTGTTTTTCTCTAAAATCTACTCCTTGCGGCGAAATTAACCCCCTTTTGAAATCCCCCAGAATTTATATATTTTTAGGGGTTTTCTTCGCTTAAAAACGAATTATTTTGAGGGGAAAGTAAATCAATTTTTTGGTAAATAGTTTTAAAAACAAAGAAAAAGTCGACTTTTCATGTTAAATTTTTCATTTTTCCCCCCATAATCTTAAAAAGCCTATCCCCGGGAGGGGGTTATTTCTGAAGATATACATCCCTTCTAATTTTCTTATCTACTTTCAAATCCATCACAGCTTTTAAACCAGTTCTAATATCCTCTCTTTATACTGAATTCCTTTCAATCCCATCTCCCTTCGCTTAAATCCCTTCTTTTTCCTCTCTTTAAAACGTTTTACTAGAATTAATTGTTAATTTTCATTTTAGCGTTATAACCCTCAATTTATGTACATTGCCAAACAACTTTCTTGTATAAAATGATTTTTTCCCCTAAAATATTTCGCCTTGTCGTTGCCTTATTTCAATTGATAATCCTATGTATTGCCGTATTTATCAGGAAATGGGGTGTATTTTATAAAACTGCCTCCTCAGGGGGGGGGGAGATTTTAAATTATGTTGGTCGGATTAGATATAAATCGCACTTATTGATTGATCGATTGTTTTTTTTTTATTGTCCTTTATTAGACTGGCACCTACCACCATATCGTAGGCAGCTGCTATGTATTTAAACTTTTAATTATAATATTTTCACTTCTTTAAAAAACGATCGTTTCGTTTTAAAAACGACGAAGATAAAATGAAAACGAAACGGTTTTTTTAACGATCGTTATTGAAAAAGATCGTTTTTAGATTAATAACGATTAAGTTTTTTTTCGCTTTAGATCATCGTTGTGTTGGTCGTGTTTGAATTTTTGACGATCGTTAACGACAACCCTTCGTTGACGATCGTTAACGACGACACCTCGTTAACAACTGTTAGCGACGACCCTTCGTTAACGATTTTTTAGATACTATCGTTTTTAGAAAAAACGAAACGAAAAACGATAGCTTTTCAAAACGATAAACCACCCTATCCGTGTCTAGGAGTACTCGCGGAAGCTGTGCTCTGAGCTGGGACTAGGAGGGGAGTTTGTAACTGCTGTTCTCTACTCTATTCGGGGGCAGCTGGCCTGGCATTCTAAGAACTACGTGTTCTCGGAGAACCAGATGCCGTCTATCGAGTCCGCTTTCAGGTGACATGAACGTGACACGTGAGAGAGGGAAATTGTATTATATTAGGCTATCAGGGCGATCTTCTATTTTAAAATTTGAATTGTTGCTCAATCTTTAAGTTTTTTTGCGGATTTTCAAAATTTTACAAAAATCAAATTTATTTAGTGACCATTTTTTATTTCTGAGCATCCATAAACCTTCCATGGGGGTCATGTGAGGTCACACACCAAATTTGGACCCAATCGGTGAATAGTCGAAATTATTCCACGGTTTTTCTTTTAATATTATAACAATAATTTTGATTATTACACTTTCTTCCTACTATACTATTATCCGATTCACTTTAAAGATTGTTCTGATAATTAATTAATAAAAGAGAATTGCTAGAGATGTGCTGGTCCCTAGTCAATTTCACCCACCAGAGCTTCCCCTATCAGTACGCATTATTACACGTCTGAGGTTGACAACGAAGATATCAGTATTTTTCTAGCTGAAAGTTGAGCGCCTTGGGAATTTGTGTTTCCTTGTTTTCCGGCAATTAATTTCAAGGAAACCTTTTTCATTCGTAAATACCAGTCAGTAATTCTGCAGTTCCTTTAAACATGAAGTTATCAAGTCAATAAATAAGTTTTACGAAATTAAAGTCAGTAATTCTGCAGTTCCTTTAAACAAGCAGTTATCAAGTTAATAAATAAGTTTTACGAAATTACCTTATTTTTTTCGGATTAGTCATAATAGTTAGTTAATTAAAAGTTGAACATTTTTGCTGTTTTATGTTTTGTTATTAATGGATACATTTGTAAAACTTGAATATTGAACTAAACATGTTTTTTAATTATTTTCTTTTTAATTAGGAACCAAAGTGATTGTGGAATATGGAGTCCTTTCTTGGAGACTCTGACTGACGCTGAGATGGAGAAGAAAATGCGCGACCAGGACAGAAATACGCGAAGAATGCGTAGGCTGGCTGCCACCACTCCACTCTACTAGAACGGCGGGAAAACCTTCAACAAAATCAATCCCCAAAAATATTTTTTTAATGTTTGTCGTTATTATTCTTTGTATATAATTGATCGTCACTAGAGTTCAAATCAATTTTTTTTGCTTTTCATTTGATTTTACGGTAAGGAAGATACAATTGATCTTGGTTGGGTTTTCAGACCTATTCTGATCCCGTAGATTTATTGAAGGGCTTAGTTTAATAATCTCATGACTTCTGTAAAGTATAGTAACGTTTTTATCCTTTTCTAGCCTTTATTAATTATTAATTATTTGCTCTGACTGAAAATATGAAAAGAGTAGTATTTTCATTTTTTGTCTCAGGAAAGGCAACATTTTTTATCTAACAAGCAAAACAAGATATTCCCAGTACACGTTAAATATAACAATCCCCAAGGAGAATTGAATACAAGGAGGGGGCAATAGGGTTTCCGTACACTTTGCTGTGACGTTTTTGGACTGCTGGAGAACTAGTTTTTGCGTAACAACAATAATAAAGATTGTAAACAATAACACAAATGATAAACAGACATTTGGTGCATCTCTGGCGTTAGATGAAGATTCACCGTATACGAACTCATGTTTGTTTACATTAGATCGGCTGCCTTTATTATTGTTGTTACGCAAAAACTAGTTCTCCATCAGTCCAAAAACGTCACAGCAAAGTGTACGGAAACCCTATTGCCCCCTCCTTGTATTCAATTCTCCTTGCCAATTCCTATCCCAGAACCCCTCCCCCCTCCAAACTTATTTTTTCTATATTTTTATTTCGGCAAAGCAAGGCACTAATTTTCCTCTTAAATTGACAGAATTCGGATAGAAGTATTGTATTATATTAATTAGCTTTTTTGTACTAGCTATTTCAATATTTTTAGCGTTGATTTTGTGTAATATCTTTGAAGTGGCATACTACTTTTCATAGCGAAATAACTGCCGATGTAAAAACCTTTTGCATTTTATATAAGTACTTTTTGAAGAAAATTCTACTTACAATCCATTAAAAAAAGGCCAGCCAGGCGATATGAGGATATAATGAAGCTGGTGCACTACTTCGCGCAGGGCTTTACTGTTGTATCTAACGGTGACAATAGATTCAGGTCTATTTTGTGACCAATTTCGATGAGCCAGCCTAAATATGTCCTTTGTCCTATGTTTCTATATGTGTTGACGAATTACTATTTTATGTTAAACTGAAAACTGAAATAATTGTAAAAAAGTCTCGACCCTAATAAGTATTAAAGGTACCGTACTTAGATTTACTGAGAACTAAAGTTCAAATTAGAATTATGAATTGAATTCTGTTAAATAGGACTGGTGACATAATATCAAGTGTATCTACAATTAAAGAGTAAAGTGTCCAATTCACCTACATCTGAGGAATGAGGATTGAGATATCCCTTTTGTCTAACTGGAAAAGGAATAATTTCCATTTTCATAAATTTTCAAGGAAATAGTCAGATTTTAACACGTTTTCCTTGTTCCTGTATGGTATTACTTTAAATCTGACATGCCACTCCCGAATAGAGGATCTCCTATGATTTGGTCTACAGTCCCTTTACCATAAACAGTGTACACACTGAACAGTGTAGCATAGAGTTCTCGTGTATTTATGTACAGTACAGTGTGGAATGTATTTATGTACAGTACAGTGTAGAAAGTGTTTATGTAACTGTAAATATTTCAGAAGAATGAACATTTAGCTGAGAGTCAATGATAGTCTGTATAGGTCCAACAGGTAACATTTCAGAGGTGTACACAAGGAAAGGGGTTATGTAGGCTCAGCCCCCCCCCCCCCCTCCTCTCGGATCAGTAAATCTGGTTTTTAAAGGGAAAGAAAAAAATTTAAGACCCCCCCCCTCTGGACAAATTTCGTTGAACGCCCATGTACCTTTATAGATAGGGGCTTATATTTCGTAAGAAGGGTTATTCACAGAACTGGGAGGAAAATAACAAAGATTTGGCCTTAGATGGCAAAAATTCCTTTTTTGAGATATCTTGTTCATCTACACCTGAAATTCATCTATTTGCCTCAATCAAACGACAAAAATGTTATTTTTGAAGACTGGGTTTAAAAAATTATCCCTGCAGACACCTTATACTCAGACTAGTAAAAGTTTAAACACATTTGATTAAAAAACAATTCTTGACGGAATTATAAGTTTTTTTCTCACTGATTTTTTCAAGAATCCCTTACTGATAGTTTTGCTTAGTTGTTTTAAACCTAGAGTAATAGATTGGGTTTGAGAGAGTATAATCATGAAATCATAGTTCTACTCAAGCTAGAGAATAGAGCTACTGCCAATAATCTTTTGAATTCTGATCTTACAAAATTCAAAAATTGTTTATTGTTCCATGAATTAGGGGGTGACTACCTAATTGATATTGCCCCCTTCTTTGAAGGGGGGGGGGTAATTCTTGAAAATATATACCCCTGTTAATTCATGACTTTGTAGGAAGTGGAAAGACAAGTTTATTGGAATCTGTTTCTGACCTGAAACGACCCCCAGACAAGGAACATAAAAAATCTGAAATTTTGTAAACAGATTTGATTTGAATTCATTCAAAATAATTCGAAAATTCAAAATGACATCCTTAGTTTTCTACGAAATGAAGGTTATTTTTTTTTTTTTTTTTTTA